CATATGAACATGTACATGTATTGTTAATGATTAGGAGCTGTCCAGTTAATGCATGCACTCAATATGAACCAAGGACATTCAGTGAAGAGGAACAAGAGAGAGTTTGGAAGAGTGAAGAGATGCAGGAATTCATGAAGAATGTAACACCAAGGTACATGTACATGTACATGTATATTATGTATCCGGTAAAAGTATAAATTTAATGAGCTATACATTGTACATGTATATGGTCTATCCTTTTAATTTTTATTTTCTTATTTTATAGAATGGAATTGTGTTTGCAGCAGAATGAGATTATGGATATATTCCCTGATGACTATCTCCTACTGTCCAATGATGATGGGATTGTTGCTAACACAACTGACACTAATCTTAAGGTTTCATTAGAAAATATATCAAACTGCTCTACATGTACATGTACTTGTGCTTACGTTATAGGAGTATCAGTCATTCACTGACCTCAAGTTCAGTAAAGATAAAGTTGTGACTTGTATTGACTGGCATCCAACAATCAAAGGTCTGACATACCTACACTGTACATGTACATGTATGAATGATAAATTTACAATAATCAGTTTCGTATTGAATATGCATTCACTGGTATATATGTTACTTTATGAACAATGTACAATGTAGAAAGTTTGACCTGATTTGAGCTGAAATTTTAAAAGTTATAAATGACAATTTCAAAAAATATGCCAATATTGATAAAATTCCCTGTACTATAGCCCATGGTTTTTTTGAAAAATTGGCTCCGAAATTACCCCCAATTTTTATTACATTTTCTGATACATATTGATGTACTTATGCTATGTAGAAAGTTTGAGCAAATTCCGACTTCAATTTTTCAAGTTATGACCATTTAAAAAATCCAATTTTCTGAAAAATCCCCTGTACTATAGCCCATGGTTTTTCCGAAAAATTGGCTCCAAAATCACCCCCAATTTTTAATACATTTTTTGATACATATTAATGTACTTATGCTATGTAGAAAGTTTGAGCAGATTCCGACTTCAATTTTTTGAGTTATGACCATTTTTCTAAAACTTCAAATTTCTAAAAAATCCCCTGTACTATAGCCCATGGTTTTTTTGAAAAATCG